GTGTCATGTCATGTTTATGACAGGGGTCATGTCATGTTTATGACTGTGTCATGTCATGTTTATGACAGGGGTCATGTCATGTTTATGACTGTGTCATGTCATGTTTATGACAGGGGTCATGTTTATGACAGGGGTCATGTTTATGACAGGGGTCATGTCATGTTTATGACATGTTTATGACGGTGTCATGTCATGTTTATGACGGTGTCATGTCAGTCTTATTCACCCCCCTTCAAATAAAGTGTTACCCAAAAAATCTACAATTACTGAATACTAACCAAGCGAGGGTTTAACTTTCTTAGTGTCCTTTTCTTAGCATTTGTTGGCTTTTTGTTAGCATCTGTTAGCTTTTGTTAGCATCCGTTAGCGTCAGGCGACCTCCTCCTGTTTTAACCCCTTCCTGTGTTTCCAGGGTCACACAGACGAGCTGTGGGGGCTGGACGTCCACCCCTCCATGGAGCAGTTCGTTACCTGCTCTCAGGACAAGCAGGTCCACCTGTGGGACACCAGCACCCACCAGCCGCTCTGGAGCAAGACCCTGGAGGTGAAAGGAGCAGTGGAAACGGAAAAACAGAGCATAACCTGCTAACTGACGTGGATAACTAGCATTTTGGTTCTTGTTCAGGATCCGGGAAGGTGTGCAGGTTTCCATCCCAGCGGCGCCGTTCTGGCTGTGGGAACCATGACTGGAAGGTTGGTCTGCTGCTGCAGCTGCAGCTCTAAAACATCTGGAAAAACACTAAATCTAAACAGTGGCTCCATCACTTATTCACAATTATCTCTGTATATTTCAGAGAGCAAAATTTTTGTTTTTTTGCTACAAAATCTAACTTCCTCCAAGAACTGAGCAGTGGTTCTGGTTCTTTTTGGTTGTTGTATTTCTGCTCCAGTTTCTAGTGCAAATATATTTGTACACTTGAAATATGGCGAAATAATTTCCAAATAACTTTTTTTGGTCTGCAAATTTTTGACTTCCAAAAAAAGAGAGGAAATTTCTGAGTTTGAACATTTCTGAGATTAATTTGAAAATTTGAGTTTGTCCTTGTTTTTTGTAAAATATTTGTACAAAAAACAATTTTGTCAAGTCTCAAAATTTCAGCTTTTTGGTAGCAAATTTTCTACTTTTCAAATTCAGAAATGTTCTTGTTTTTTCTAGAAGAGTTCTGAGATGAATCTAAACATTTCAGAGTTTTTCGGCGGATATTTACTCTTTTCTTTCTGCCTATAATGACCCCAACACGCCGCCGCAGGTAACAGCCAATCAGCATCAAGGGGGATGAATGGCGCTTCTGGATTGGCTCCTCAGCAAATGCCAACCAGTAGCACATAAAGCATTCTGCAGATATTGAAGCTTCTCCAGCTGCTTTTTGTTTGAATATTTTAGCTAAACTCTACAAAAAATCTACAATTACTGAACAGTAACCAGGTTGATTAGGCTAAAAACTAAACATTTATATGCTTAGTGGTGTTTGGAGCCAGGAAGTGAGGCGCTGCTGCATCTGTTGGCTCTGCTGTTGCCAGTTAACACTTCTTGTTGTTCCAGGTGGTTGGTGCTGGACACCGACACCCGGGATTTAGTTTCTATGCACACCGACGGCAGCGAGATCATCTCAAACGTCAAATACTCTCCAGGTGAACGCCCTGACGGCTCCGTATTTCTCCAAAATGCTTCTCTCCAAGCTGCTCTCTGAACCGTTTGTGTTTGTAGATGGTAACTTCCTGGCTGTTGCCTCCCATGACAACTTCGTCTACATCTACGCCGTGAGCGAGAGCGGCAAGAAGTACAGCCGCGTGGGCAAATGCACTGCAAGTCCAGATTCTCTACCCTTAGCAGAGATCAGTGTTTCTCAAACCTTTCCAGGCTAAAAACCTCTTAACAGTAAAAAAACACCTGCTAAAAAATACAACCTGAAATTAAAACATTAGTCTCTTTAACTCTTATTGTTGTTTTTCTTTGTTTATCCCAATAAGAACCACAACCATTAATTCATCTGTTTGGGACATTTTGAGTTATTTACAGATTCTGAAAGTGGATCCTAAGTTTTCCAATTATGTCAAATACTTAGAAATTTAAAAATAAGTTGCTATTTTTGTTGACTGAATTAATAACATTTTAGGGCTGTTTGTAATTTAGAAGCACAGCAAAAGAAAAATAGACTGAAAATTATCTACCAATTCTACAAATTGTATTTATCTATAGTATTAAATTTAATTAAATAAAAATAATAGCTGTTGACGTGTGAGCAAAGTTGTAAAAAAAAACAAAGAACAGTTCCCACTGACAGAGCTGTTCAAAAGAATCGAATCTCCTCTGATGTAAATGTTCCTGCCGTCGTTTTCTTTCCTCCAATATCTTCAGGTTGATGTGACCTGGTTTTAAGCCACTCATCCATTACTATTTTTAAAGCCAACTCTTTGCTAAGCTAACTGTAGCGTCGCACTTTGACCTCTGCAAATAAACAGTGGGTTACATGCAGTACCCTGCGGACCACCAGAGGGCGCCTGAGAGCCACAGTTTGAGAAACACTGAAACACATTTTCAGCCATGAGGGAAAACTGATTTAAACTGGAATTGTTCTGATTTGTTTGGGTTTTTTAGGGTCACTCCAGCTTCGTCACCCATCTGGACTGGTCTGCAGACAGCCAGTACCTCGTCACCAACTCAGGAGACTACGAGATCCTCTTCTGTACGTCTTTGTTTTCTCCAAAAAGAGGAAACCTGATGTGTATGAAGCTTTTTTGTTGTAATTATTATTATTTTAATTTTCAGGGGAGGCATCCAGTGGTAAACATGTGACCAACATGGACACGGTGCGCAACCTGGAGTGGGCCACCTCTACCTGCACTCTGAGCTTCAGCACCTTCGGTAGGCCTTCCAGACCAAAACTAAAACCAAACAGTCCTGCTGATGCAAAGTCTCACAGGTTGCAAAAACACAAAATCCTACCAAGTGTTTTTGGTCTTAGTTTTGACTGATTTCCAGTCTATGGTCATGTTTTAAGTCAGTAATTCCTTATTACCAACAAAACAAATCTAGTTCAACTGGCAGATTATTTTAATTACAACATGGGAAAATGTCTTGTTATAAGTAATTCTATCTGCAAATGGAACAAGAACTTTTTCATCCATATTGAGGAATTATTGACTCTAAACAAAAGTTATTTATAAGGCACTATCGTATCCTTCGTTTGTTCTGTCGTATCCTTCGTTTGTTCTGTCGTATCCTTCGTTTGTTCTGTCGTATCCTTTGTTCGTTCTGTCGTATCCTTCGTTCCGTCGTATCCTTCGTTCGTTCTGTCGTATCCTTCGTTCTGTCGTATCGTTTGTTCTGTCGTATCCTTCATTCGTTCTGTCGTATCCTTCATTCCATCGTTTGTTCAGTCGTTCGTTTGTTACGTCGTATCCTTCGTTTGTTACGTCGTATCCTTCGTTCGTTCTGTCGTATCCTTCGTTCGTTCTGTCGTGTTCATGTCCTGTTCCTTATTGTTCTTAAAGCTACTGGCTACATGTATTGGTGCTAACACTCTGGGCAGCTGCTGTATGAAATGTCCAGTTTTCAGTCTCAGGTGATGTAAAGTTGCAGGTCATGTTTTCTTTCAGATGCCCTGGTATTTTCCTGCAGGCTGAAAACAGAACATGACATGAACATCAGTATTTGTCTCCCACTGACTTCCTAACTCTTTATTTCCCAGGAATCTGGCCAGACGGCGCCGACGGCACGGACATCAACGCCGTGTGCCGCTCACATGATGGCTCCCTGCTGGCCTCTGCTGACGACTTTGGCAAAGTGCAGCTGTTCTCCTTCCCCTGCTCCCAACCAAGGGTCGGTCACATCCAGCCTGCGCTGCATCGGCTTCACATTAACACCAACTACTGGGTCATAAACGCAGTGAAAGCTTCAAAATAAAATGCTTCCAGATTTTTTTAAGTGGTGGATGGAAACCAGATGTTAAAGTTCAGGTTCCAGGTGTTTCACCGTTTTCACTGAGCCGTAAAACCCGACGCTGAAATGACTTCGAGCAGCTAAAACTCTTAAAAGATCTAGAATTTCCTATAAACACACAATAAACAGAAACATGTGGACGGCATGAGAAAACGCTCCAGGATTTTAAATAGTTCACTAAACTTTCTCAGAACAAAATCGATGCTTTGCTCTTAATTTAATTTTTTATAAACTTTGTTTTTTTCTTATATATTTGTTAAAAGTGTCATTGACAGTTTGAGACCAATAATTTATGAAAAAATTGATCTCTGCTTCTGTTTTTGGTTCTACCGCCATCTGCAGTAATGCAGCGCTTCAAGTCAGAAACAACCAGCGTTGTCAATCATGTTTGTGTACATGCTGCTCACCTCCAGGTAGTTCCCGTCACCAGAGGCTGAAGTGAATGCTCAGGCTAGTTAGCATAGCCACAGCTAACGCAGGATAAGCTGCTTTCCTGTAAGTTGTTTCTCCAACATTACCACATTTGGCAACCCATACACAAGCATGATTGACGGCGCTAAGACGCTCCTCCTGGCTCTGATTGGTGTATTTCTGCAGATGGCGGTAGAACCGCAGGGAGGAGCTCGACCTTTTTATTTTCACAGATTATTTTACAGTTTTAATAAATAAGTAATAAATTCATATTTATAAAATGACATACTGTAGCTTTAAGAGGAAAACGTCTCTCATAATTTGCAAACTAAATAAAACACCACTATAAATTGGATAAGTTATATTAAATGTTTATTAGTTTGGTAGTTAGTCAGGCTGCTATGCTAGCTGTGCTATGCTAGCTATGCTATGCTAGCTGTACTATGCTAGCTATGCTAGCTAGCGCGCAGCTTGAGAAATTCTAAATCATAAATATGAGCATCTCAAAAAGCTATTTTAAATTATATTTTATAACAGAAAAACAAATAAAAAAACTTCTATTAAATTATTTTGCATATTGTTGCAT